TAGGGCTGAAAGTCAAGAGCATTTCCGGTCCCCTCGGCCTAGGCTGTGTGGCCTATCGGGATGAAAAGGGTTCAGACTTTATCCAGACGCTGGTGGAGGTGCTCAGAGCCGACTCCGGAGGAGACCTGCTAGAGCTGATGACTGAGGTGTGTGTGTGTGTGTGTGGGGGCAGGGATGTAGAAGTAGGGGATATAGTAAAGGGAAAGGGGGGTGGGCGACAAGAGGCTGGATTCCCACTTCCCTGCAAGCCAGGCCTAGGTGCTGCGCACTGGAAGCCTGTAGGGGCCCACGGTGGGAGCCCTGGGCAGTGACCGAGCGCGGTCCTCGCAGGTCAACAGGCGAATGTGCGAGCTGGCCGTGCTGGGCCCCGACTGCGACCAGCCCCGCAAGGAATGCCTGGAGCTCCGCAGCTCCCTGCGTCGCCGCCTCTGCCTGCGAGCCTGACTGCCAGTGAACGCGATCCCGTCCCCGCGGCCGGCCGGCCCCCAGCCCGCTCCCCGGGTGTGGCTGCAGGGCACCTTTCCGGGGACACTTCCTGCTCTCAGGGAGGCGAGGTCCACCCAGGGGCTGGAAGTTCCGAAATTGACCCCGAGGGTCGGACCATCCGGTTTCCACCAGCTCTGCACATGCAGCTGCCCTCTGGTTACTCTGAGTTCCCTCTAGACCTACGGACCCTGGGACGGTTGTCCGGGACTATGAGGGACGTCCAGGGCATTGGGGTGGGGGTGGGGGCAGCTGGTGCTCCTAACCCGACCGAGCAGAAGGAGCTTGGGGGAGTGGGAACCGATGTCTGCCTCCTCGGGGCTCGAACTCGCTTTCCCAGACCCTCAGCGGAGCGCTCTAGCCGAGCAGCCCCGCCCCGCCCCGCCCCTGTGTTCCGGGCTCCGTTTACGAGGTATTCTGATGGGCGGAGCACCTCTCCAGCTGGGCATGCGTATTGAGGAACGCTGTGAGGCGCCTGCGTAGACTTTATGAGGCGAGCTGAGCTGCCAGCTTTCGTGCGGCCGCGTGGCCTAATGGATAAGGCGTCTGATTCCGGATCAGAAGATTGAGGGTTCGAGTCCCTTCGTGGTCGTCCCAGTTATTTTTGATTTTTTAATTTTATTTTTTCCTTCACTTGGTTTTAAATAGTTCCTTTTCCCCCGGAGCTGGATCGGTATCCTAGGGACTACAGAACCCAGTCATTGATCAGGAATCCGGATCAGGAGTCAGCGGGACCCCAGCTCCTGTCCAATTCGTTTCTCACTCGCGGAAACAGGGGTCCCAGGGTCCCGCCCAGTCCGTGTGACCCAGGAAGGGGTGTCAGACCAGGAGCCTCCCGCCCCAAGGTGAGCTACCTCTGCCCTGGGCAGACAGACCCTGGACAGGGTAGCCGCGATGACACATAGTTGAAAATTGGGGCCACCTCGTTAGAATTCAGTATGACCTTTGGCTGCTGGTCTTTGACTTATCAATTCCCTTTGAGGAACGTTTTCTCAAGCCTGGATGTTTATCTTCACGCGGGGCAAACGTTGGAAGCCAGTGTCGTGTTCCCCTCCTTTTCGAAATAAATCCTAATGGAGATCACAATGTCCATCTGTGGAGCTGGGATTGTTGTCGGGAAGTTGTTCCAACGGGGGCCAGAGGTTATGTGCATTTGAAAATCTAGTAATTCGATTTCTTGCAAGGACAGTGTGCCCTTGGCATAAATGGTGTTGCAAATGAATCTTTTAATGTCTGCTTTTAGACAGTGTGTCCAGGATTGAGTCGTCGTTAGTAACAACAACAACGAAAAACCTCTGCTTGCTGAACCCGGATTTCTCTGATCCTGTTGTGGTCAGGGGCATGGCCAGGGGTCAGCGCAGGGACACTTCTCCCGTGGGGCTGAGGAACACCACAGAAGTGCTCCGGGGTGGGTGGGCGCTGACCACCATAGCCCACACGGGAGCCCTCTTATCCTTGACTACCTCAGTGACGTTTCCAATGAAACGTTTATTATTATT